TAGACAGGTACCATCAAGCCACTTTGGGATTAGCGCTAGAAAAATAGCATTTATGGAGCGAGGCAGGAACCCATAGATGAAGAACGACTGAATAGCAATGACGAAATCGTTTCCAAGAATATCCCAGGCTGCTAGAAAAAAACTCTTTTTTTTAACCGTCCAGCCCAGAGGCTTTGTTGGAAGGCATTAAATGCAGCGCTTGCTTAATCTTCTCACTAGTTACAGGCGCTATCAACATTGCACATGTTTCCTGGGAGCAGCGATAATTCAGAAGAGACGGCAAGAAATTCTCCGATACTTCCTCAAAGTCTGAATATTCTTTCTGCAGAAACCTCTTAAAATATTCTGCTGCCGTTGTTTTTATTTCATCAATATTCGTAATCTCCTTGCCTGCATCGTTAATCAGCTTACGGATCGTGTTTTTGGCAGCTCTTTCCTAAGATACCTGATGGAAATAAGGAGTGTTCTGATCGCCACAAGCCAGCCATTGTATCCGAGATTTCTGTTTAAAGAATTGTTTCTCCAGTCCTGCTAGTTTATTCCACCGTTCTGACGCATGAGTGACAGCTTCCATATTTACTGTTGAGGGATCCTACAATGCTCTGTTTTGGGCCTCACAAAACAGAGTATAAGCCTCCTTTGTTCAAACTGGTAGATTACCATATCTAGACTTGTTGAGTTCTCGCAGCTGGGGCTTTAGGCTTTTTAGCTTTTTGTGGAACATGGATAGAGCAGCTCGAGAATGAAAGAGCGGCGGTGTGGCTCTCTAACTTCGATGTACAGTCTCCTGAAAGGAAGAATGTGAAGCCATGAAATTGAAGAAACGGAATGGGTTACGGTGGTTCCCAGAAACGCTTTGCAGATGGACTACACATGTTGAGTGATCTGATATACCCCCTGCTTTGAAGGAGGCGTGAGAAGCAGGGAATTTTTTCAGCGAGTCGGCGATTATTAAGGCTCGATCCAGCCGTTTCCCCACTGGGTTCGCGTCCTGGTTATTTATCCAAGTATAAACAGATCCCGTAGATGCAATGTCAGAGACTCCAGAGAATATTACTGCGTTCTGAAAGTCCCTCATTCATGTCGTGTTGAAAGTGTAACCAAGGTTTTGGGAGTGTTCTTGCAAAGATAAAATTTCATTGAAATCCCCGAGGATTATCCATGGCATAGAGAGCTGCTGCAGGGATAGATGAATATTACAGAGGTCCGCCCATAAACTCCTTCTATCTGCAACAAAATTTGAAGCATAAACAAAAGTGACGAGAAACTTTTCTCCAGAGCTGACCAATGTCACGGAGCAAGTGTTCTGCTGAGAACTTTTCAAAATCAATGTCATTTCCACTGATGATGACCATCCAATCCATATACGACCCAGCCTGTGGCAATCGTAGTTCATAATTGTAGACCAATCCGGGGCAAAATATTCCATAATAGACTTAGACTGTGACTCTTGTACACGTGTTTCCACGAAACATCCAAAGCTTGGTTTGACTGCTTGTATCCTGATAACACCGGATTTTGATCATTTTTATGGATCACTTTAATGTCTTTTACAGGTGTTTTTACTCCATTTTCAAAGGTTTTCAAAGGATTTCTATGTTTTGGATTTTAAAAGACTTTTCAGGTAATTTGGGATAAAGAGGCATAAATTGGAACAAAAAGACTCTTTTGGATAAATGCTGACCGTCAGAACTCTCATGGAGAGACGAAAACCTTCTCACCGTCTGATCACCCTCAAAATTGGGCAACTTATAGAAGAATCAACTAGCTTTTAAATGCACTTGGTTTGGAGACATTCCAACGGTTGGATCTCAAGATATTCCATTAGCCCCAGAGACACTCGAAGACGGCCAGCAAGTCACGCGACCGCGGCCACCAGCCTATTTCCCGCGGACACAAGCTTCCCGACCGCGGCCAACCACCTATTTCCTGCGGTCACGTTACTCCCGACCGCGGCCGGCCAACTCCGATTAAAAGCCCATATTTCTGAAGCTCAAAGTCATTTCTCAGCCTCAATTCTGGAACCCTAGAGACCATGGAGTATTGAAGACTATAAATACTTGTCATTTAGGTCGTTTTTAGAGAGACCCTTGATACTTTTACAGAAACCCTTTTTCCCTTAGCCGTTTTATGCGATTTTTAGAGAAGATTGTTCAAGTCTGAGTTCTTTAATAGAAAAGCTTTCTTTCATCTCTTTTCTTTACTGTTTTTGATTACTTTTATTAAAACCAATGATGATGTCGACCTCACCCATGTCTGAGTAGATCCCGAGTTGTGCTTAGGATTCCCGAAAGGGGCTCTCATAATCGATTAAGACATCTAGGTTTATAGATCTGAGATTTTAACTTTGTTCTCTTTTTATTCTCGTTCTTATTGCATGTATGCTTGATTGATCACCTAGTATCTGATCTAGATAGTTAGTGTTGCGAAAGTTTTCATTAAGTATCAGACCTAGAATGAAACAGGTGATTTTTCCGTAGGAGTGGAAACCTAACTGCGGCGAGATCATGAGTACTGACGAGTCTTGTGCAGCTCTTGCGTTCTCTCCCTTCCATGACCAGAGTGGAAACCTACTGGTTAGGATTGTGAGAAACAGTTGGTTATGATCACGACAGTGATATAGTCATACCGCTGTACTCTAGTGGTCTTCGATGGACCTCGTGATCGACTTTGATTGGTCTTTTTCTTCTTCTCCTGATAGTTTTTCTCTCTAGCAGCTGCGTTCTGTTTGTCATGTTCTGTATCGGATTCAGCAATTTCACCTTCCTCTCCGGAAACATCTTTAGTTACATTGCCCTGCAGTGATGTTTCCTTGAAATCACAGGCATCCTCTGTCTTTTCTTCTTCGTCCTGAATGGTATCCAAGACCGCGAAACCATTTGGCGAGATAGCGGTTTTGCCCTCACTAGTCTTGGTACTCTGTTTCCTCAACGGAGAACTCTGTTTCCCATGGCCAGTCACAGTCGTCCACATTTCCTTATTTTCATCACTGCTCTGCGTGTTCCGGTCTGGTTCCTGCTCCTCATCTCAGATTGGTGTGGTACGTTCTAGATCGCTTAGAAGCTTCTGAGCGATCTGAGCAACAAACACCGCCGGGGAAGAAGATACGTCCACAGGATTGCTTGATTCTCTCTCTTTCTGCATTATGGTCACATTTTTCTCCTGCAAGCAATTTTTCTCCACATGCCCCCACTTGTGACAGGTGGTGCATCGAGGAGGTAACCAGGGGTAGTTGACTTCAACTGTGATGTCTTCTCCTTGGGTACCTTTGAATCCAACTTTTTCTACCAACGGTTTTTGCAGGTTCACTTCTACCAGAATTCTTGCTATGTCCATTCTGACACATCTCTCAGTACTTGGGTGTAGCTTCACATATCGTCCGGTTGTGCGAGAGAGGAAGCTTAGGCCTTTTTGCGAGAAAAGATATCCTGGAACTCCTCTTAGGACAACCCACAACGGCATTGCTGATAAATCAGGAGGGTTTCTGGCCGTTTCCGGGTTCCATTCGTTTATCACCAGAGGCACATCTGCAATATACCAATGGCGCCCGCAGATACTTGGGTTTTCGATTCAAAACAGAACAGTCGTCTTGTTGATAAACTACACGTCAATTTTTGCTGATCGCTCACTTGACGTCTATATCCGGTTGACTGTCGCATGAATAGATCCTACGTGGGGAGCATCTCCCAAAAAGTAACCCACGACAAAAATCTTCCAAAGGGGTATAGCATCCACGACAACTTCTTCAGGGATAGTAACTTCAGCAAAACCATTGGTTATCACAGCTTCTGGATGAACGGAACACTGCAGATTGTCCACAACATTTGATCACAACTCGTTTTTCGACGGAGACACCATGGATGGAGGACCTTTGGGGGCGTGGGTAGGGGGCATGGTGGTTCCTCCGACGACAGAGGAGATTCCATGTGGCGGCGGCTTGCCTTGCGACTCAAGAGGCGATTCTTAGGCAGAGCGGCGCTTAGGGTAAGTTCGAATTTAATTGCCTTTTAGTTTTTAGTTTTTTTTTTTGCTTTGTTAACTTAATTGTTGTTTAATAATTGCCTTTTTTTGTTTTTTTCCTTTTATATTCGGTCTCACATTTATGATTTAAGGATGTTCTATCGAGTTAAAACTCTGAGCTATCATCAATCGATACCTAAAGTGCTACATCCGTCACATCCATTTACAAATTGTGCATTAAGAAGTTTAAAACTTTGGGAGAATCATAGTTCATTAAACATTAGAGATTTTACATATTAATGATAGGAATGCATTTCTGTAAATGCTCCGCCAGAAATCGAATGCATGAAAGAAATTTCATAGGAAAGACCGGTTCTGCGATTTGTTTTAAACTTTAGACTTTTGGTTCCACTTGTATTAGATAATAGATTTTTACATTTGATAGTTGAGAGCAAAAGACAAGAACGTCACTTACTTTCGACGTGTGCTCGAAAAAAGGTAAAACATCTTAAGAATAAGGCCATCAACATACTTTAATTCAACTTTGAGAATTTGTTTTATAATTTATACAGTAGAAATTCTATAAATTAATATTTTTTTGATTTCAAATTTAAAATTTAACGTAATTAATCTCTTTATAAATTAATCTCTCTAAATTATTAAAATTTGAGTATCCCAACATTATTAATTTATAGAATTTTTACTCTATATCAAATTAATTATACATTCAAAAATTGAAGTTGGTGAAAGACAACAAAACACTAAAATAGACGGAAAAGCAGCTAATTACTCAAAAGTGCTCTCAAACCCACATGGTTACTTAAAAAGCCACGTTAAATAAAATATAAGGCTCAAGCATGTGATTAGTTTAATCTTAGCGTGGAAGAAGCCTTAAAATTATCAAACCTCATGATGCATGCAAGCACGCCCTATAAATATTGGCCCAAAGCAGTCGAGTCAATTCAAGTCCAGTCGGATTCTTAAACCCTAAGTTTCCTCTAGCTGTTTCTTCAAGATTTCACATCTTAAAAATCCTTGTTATGGATCCCCTAATTACCATGCAAGATATCCAATATAAGAATGGACCAAGAATATCCAAGAAGCCATTCGTAAAACTTCTTGACCACCTTTTCTTGTCGTTGATCGTAGTTACTTTTTGCGTTATTGTAGTTTTTAGCCCATATTGGCTTGAAGTTTCTTATAGTTTTTTCTTGTTCACAATCCCTAGAGTTAGTACTTACATCCTAACATCTAAAGTATCATTTTTTCTCACCAATGTCATCGTGATCACCCTCATCGGAGTGTCAAGGTTTTATAGTTCAAGATCTTCTCCTCCAGCTGGCGAGTTGCAAAAAGAGTACATTACACGAAGCCATTCTTGTGACTCGTGGTCTTATGGAACTGTGAAGCTGGCAATCGGAGATCAACGATCTTCGAAAGAGAATATTGATCAACCGAGACTCGAAGAGGGCAAAAGAAAAAAGCTTAGTCCGCTTCAGATAGATTCGTTAAACCAGAGGGCTGATAATCTGATCGCTAGAGTCAACAGACGGAGGAGTCTTGAAATTGGGCTGTTACATAGACCATAGCTGTGTATCATAGAAAGCATTGCTTTTTACCAAGATTATATATATATTCATTATGTTTCACAATAAACGTTGTTTATAGTTTTTTTTTTCAAAAAAGTGTCATTTTCTTTTCAATGCAAATTTTTATATTACAATTCTAATGAAATTCAAGAGTCATCACATATTTCAAGGGTATAATTAAACTTTTAAGATGTTTTAAAATTTATGTGTAAAGTGTTAATACGACACTTATTATATAAAGGAGAGAATATAAAATAAGATTTTCCAACTAAAAGGCGACCACATCAACATTTTTTGAATTATAAAATATAATTATAAGAGAGATCCTTTACAAAATTATTTGTATATCTAAGTTCTTTTTTTTAAATTTACTTTTCTATAGTTTTTACCAATAGATTAGAATAGTAATATTATAACTAAAAATGTTACTCATTAGTGTACTTAATAAAATCCTACTTTGTATATTATACACATTAACAAACACATAAAAAATTTACACTATTTGTTTGATATAAATTACTTTAATACTATTCGACTAATTATATTTTCACATTCATAAGTTACAACTATAACAACTTTTTATATTTGGGTTATTCGCATAATCATAAGTCTGTTTACCGTAATATATGTATATATTGGATTAACTCATACTTTTATTCTATAAAACATTCTCCTATGTTAATGACACAGGATTCGAGCAAAAAGATGGATCTGAAGTCTATCAGTCCGTTTGAAGGGCACTGTAGTGGAAGAGAACAAAAGAGAAAGGTTTCTTGAGGAACAGATGACCGGATAATGGTTGGAACTTGGAATAGATGATGAAATTAGATCTCGAGGCGAAAAAAGAGACAAATGTTTAGAGTGTATGTGGGGAAATACCAAAGCTCTAGAGATAATATATCAAATTTAGTAGTATGAAAATTTTAGATCGTTTTCGTTTTTTTGGTGGAAAAAATGAAATTTATTATATAAAGACTGGGTTGAGTTTCACAAGCTTGACACATTAGCATCCATTTTTTTGACACATCAGATTAAATAAAAATTATGAGAGAACAAATAATTAAATTCTACTAATTTCGTTTTTAAATGAACTCAGAAATCGAAAGAGAAGTGCATCTTATTTTATGGTTCATAATGAACTGCAAATTAATTTCCATTTTTGAAGGTGGAAAGATGGAATCTCAAACAATTTTCAATGCTTTCTAATATCGACTCAAAATTCCACAAGTCAATAGGTAAGATTTTTTATTTTCCATCTCCTCTTTGATTTATGGGTTTTGAAAGCTGCATTATATTCTTTGTATTGAATTCATTCTGGTTTTGTTTACATAGACATTGATCCATTTTCTTTGTATAAAGGCATACCGACCAATGACAACGTTACCACCAGGACAAAGGGTTGAGACTTGAAGTCTCGGGCATAAATCAACAAAAACAAGGAAGAACACAACACTGTTTGAGCACAAAGAAGAAGTACGACAACATGGAGAAGACAATTGGTGAGGCAGAAAGTAGAGGATAAGATAGTTTTGAAGGGAGGATTCGAAGTAGAGAGTAAGCTCTTATAATTGTTCTCATTGGGAATTTGCCACTGATTGTTAAGAAAAAGCTAATTTCAAAAGAATTTAGCTAATCTCGAATGATTAGGTTCAAGTTATGTTCATTGATTTTTTTATTTCCTTTAATCTTGATTGATTAGTCAAAGAAGACAAGGAAATGAGCTGTATATATTGTTTAAGCAAATCAATGACAAAGCTTCAAGGTCAGCTCTTAAAATTCTAAATTCTAATGAAATCTATTTTGAATTTTGGTTGAAAATCTCTTACTTTATTATTCGATGTATGATTTGAAGTTTCAGTTATGAAATTAATATATGGGATGGTAGCTATAACTTTTCGTCAAGAAGGGAAGTTTGAGGGTGGAGCTTGAGACAAAAGTGCCATAGATATGTGCAAAAAGTTGATGTCCTTATCCTTTGGTTGCCTGATTGGCTTGTGTCTCATCTGCTCTTTTAGCCTTCTGATCTTCATCTATGATATCCAAGACATGTTTGCAATGGAAGGTAATGCAGAATTTTATTTAAAGGACTTAATTCTTCAAAGAAACATGTAATATGGACTGTGAACAGGACGAGTTTGTAGGGTTTAATTTCATTTAATTTCAATACTTGCTCTTTACTTCCAAGTGCACCAAGTCTCTCGACAAAAACCATCTTCCTGACACTCTTTCTATTTGTAGTGATTAGACATAAGCTGAATAATTATTAATAAAGTCAAGTGGGGATATAGCATTTCAAGTTGCTCAGTTCATCACAAAAAGAGGTTTCGTAAACTACAATATTGTATTTTTTCCACTCTCACTTTCTTTGCTTTAATCTTTAACACAAAATATATGCGGAAACATATCTCTGAATGATGGAAATGCGTTAAAAATACGATTTGATGATGATATTAAATTTTTTTTACAAAAATACATATTTTTATCATTACAAATTAACTTAGAAACAAAAAAACAGGTTGAGAAAAATAATAATGAAGAAATATTTGGTTGGGTGCAAAAATAACAAGTATTACATCTACAAAAAATAATGACTACATTTTTACGAGTTCATATGATATACATATTACCAAATATAAAAAATTAGATTAAACTTATAGAAAAATGTCTATTAATAATTTATATTAAAACAAAAAAAAATCACATTTAATGAATATATTTTTACAAATTTGGATGATATTTATATTATCAAAAATAAAAATAGGTTAATTTTGTAGAAAAATGTAATTTTACAATGTATATTAAAACAAACAAAACATCTGTGTGTACACGCGGGTATCCATCTAGTATTTTTAAAGTTTAACGAGTTGAGCGTTCAATAGTAAAACTAGATAGGGATCTATTAGTTAAAACCTTACGAAGCCTTTGAGTGCTTTACAATTTTTTTTATTTTTTGCGAGTCGGACAAAACTCTAGTACGATCATGTGGTCAACATAAAACTAGATACAATTTTTTTATTATATCACTTTTAGAACCGATTGTTTTGTTAAAAACAAATATCATAAAATTGTTTCAAAAAACCATAACTGTATTTTTTTTTTTTTGAAAAAATGGTTAAACCATAACTGTTGTGCACAACACAGAGTAGAACCTACTTCTAATAGTTAACCAAAAAAAATACGGATTTTCAAATCGTTGGCAAAGATACACGAGCACAACACTACAAAAAAAAAGAAAACTCATTAACTTGTCAGAGTCTCAAAGACAAACTAGATAAATTTGTTTTTTCAAATACAACGGAAGAAGTAGGATCAAAGTCATGGTATGGATAGGTAACATTTCGTTCCAAAAGAAATAGCCAACATATATTTGAGTAGTATCAAACTCTAATAGCCGAATTATATCGTATTTTGAAGTGTTTTTTGGTTTGGTTTTGGTGGAATCTTTATGGTTTCGAAATGACAATAATTAAGGGAAATAAGAATTAAGAGACTAATCAGGGCAACATAACACCTTGGCCTTAGGTGGATTTAAAGATGATTAAGATTTTGAGTAGTTCAGATTTACTTCGACAGATCGATGTTTGGTTCTTGATTGTCGAGTAGCATGCATGTGAAGATTTTGTGATGAAGTTTGATATATCATGGTTTTTATGGTTTTTAACCATGGTATAAGTCTTATTTATAGAGTTTTTTTAGTGTCTTTCGGAGTCTTTTCAGGTCATAGGTACGTTTGGAGCTTAACTGGAGACTTTGGAGCACTTTGAAGCTTAATCAGGATCAAATTCGTCAAGTATGGATTTTGTGCTTTAGTGTCGCTCGACACCATGAAGAGTGACACTCAACACTTGTCAGAGAAATAAGGAAAATGCGATTTTGTTTCCTATTTGAAGAAGGAGTTGGGCCTAAACGTTTCCAAGGAAGCCCAAAATGTGTTTTAGAGATATATATAAGATTTTTATTCTCTTTTTATTGAGACCTTAGATTTTCGAGAGAGAGATACTCTGAGTTTTCGGCTTTAGCAATTTTTGAGAGCTTGGGAAGACAAGTCTGAACTCTGTTCGTTTAGAGAGAAAATTTTGAACCCCTTTATCTATTTCGATTTAATCTATTTCCTTCTATTCATCATGTTTGTTGTTCCAATAATCATGTCTAAGTAGATCACCTGTTAAGTTTAGGGTTTAATTAGGGTTTTCTTTGAATGTTTGATTAACTTGCTAGTTAGGGTTCATATCTATTAGTTCTTCATCTTAGGTTGTTCTTCATCTTAGGTTGTTCTTAATGCTAATTCTGGATTGATCACCTAGAACTTAGATCTTAGGTTGCTTAATTGACACAGAAGTGTAATTGAATAACTGGAAAGAACCTAGGGTGAGCAAAGTAGCTATTCGCAAAGGAATTTGGTTTAGGTGCTTTGTGAACATATCGAACTTGTGCATTAAAGCTGGTTTAACTCTGTAAGATTTGCAAAGGAATTTGGAATTCTAGGATTTTAACTTAGATAATTCTCACAACGGAAGTTGGTTAATTATAAACTTGTGTTTCGAGTTCAAGAACCGAGCTTAATAACTGAACCCTGATTTGTTAAGTTGATCTGCATTCATTGATCTCCTAAAAAACGCCCTAGACCTAATCTTTGTCCAATCGAACTTACAAACCGTTTTTACTACTGCCTAGTTTATTGCTGTCGCATTGTTATTTATTTCCAATATTTCTGCTTAGCGTAACTCAATCTCTATAAGGTCTATTGAGTGATCTCTTGTCTCTGTGGTTCGACCCCTAGATACTACAACTGCACATCTGTGCTCTTGCAGAGTAGCTTAGGGATTAAACTTTGAGCAGATCAAGTTTTGGCGCCGTTGCCGGGGACTTGATTTCGCCATTAAACCTAGTTTTTGAGTTTCGACTAAGTTTTTCTTCTTAGTAACGCGCGACACTAGTTATGGTGTCGCGCGACACCTTTCGCTTTTATAACCTAATTTGATTATTTCGTTTTCTATCTTTGTTTTTGGTGCTTCAGGTTTATGCATACTCGTGGAACCAGAAGCAACAAGGACATCCCGCTAGTGAATTTGAGAAACGAGGAGCTAGCTGAGTTAGAGCGAACAAACAGGAAAGCAAAAGATCCGGCAATGATGGAAAACACCAACGGACTTGTTCGTGATGATGCTGGAATCTGGAGAGACCAAGAGGGTCATGCGTGCAATGTGAGAGGCCAAAGGCTTGATGGAGATGGTAACATCATTCCACCGGCACCTTTACCAGTGGATGTTGTTGACCAGAATCCACCACCTGCACCGCGTGGTAATGCTGTGATCGTTCCAAATCAGAGGATCGTTCCAGAAGTCGGAATGTGAGGGAACCTGCACCTGCAGCTGGTCGTGGACGAACACTCGGAGATTACAGAGCAGTTCTATGCAAATCGTTCTGCGATTCACGTCCCTGCGTTTCAAAGAAACGATTTTGAGTTGAAACCTGTGTACTACACTCTTGTGGGTCAGCATCCCTTCATGGCCACTCTCATGAGCACCCTATGGACCACATCAAGAGGTTTGAGGACTTGGTCACCAGCATCAAGTACAATGGAGTGTCCAATGATTTCCTCCTCTGCAAGCTGTTTCCTTATTCTCCTGCTGGAGAAGCAGCTAACTGGTTGAAGCAGCTGGAGCCAGGATCACTCACTACTTGGGAAGAGACCAGGAATGCTTTCCTGCATAACTTCTTCGATGATGCTCGGTCTGAGGAATTGAGAACGAAAATTTCGACATTCTCTCAAGAACCAACTGAAGCGTTCAAAGCTTCTTGGGTGCGATTCAAATCGTACCAGCGAGACTGCCCCCATCATGGCTTCAGCGATGTGCAGTTGTTGGGTATCTTCTTTAGAGGTATCAACTGGAGGTATCAGATGGCACTTGGTGCAGCAAGCAATGGAAACTTCAACACCAGATACCCAGAAGAAGCTGTTGAGCTCATCGAAAACTTGGCATCTAGTAATAACACCAAGAATGCTGATCTTGAGCGAAAGAAGCAAGCTGGGAACATGGATAGATCGCATATTGCTGAGGTGAAAGCTAAGCTTGACTCTGTGCATAGTCTTTTGGTGGGTAAGAAGTCTGTCAGATTTGCACAGGAAGTAGAGAGTTTCGAACCTGAGGATGAAGTTGAGGTGAAAGATGTCAACTTTGTTAGTGGATCATGGTTTCAGGGTCAGAGGTTTGGTAATCAGCAAGGTAACAGAAACTACAGTGGGAACTACAGTGGAAACAATCAGAGGAGTACCTTCAACAGTAATCAGAACTTCTCTGGTTACACGCCTAAGCCTCAGTACCAGAAGCCTTATTCAAACAACAGTTTTTCCAGAAACTACAGCACTCCTTCAACTCAACCTCAAACTCCTGACAATGAGATGAAGTCTATGCTGGGTCAAATTCTGGAAGGTCAGCAGAAGCTCACCGTGGACTTCAATGAAAAGATGGATGCTTTCTACCTTGATCTGAATGGGAAAATTGAAGCTTTGAACAATCATGTCAAGCAGCTCGATACGCAGGTTGCTCAAACTGCAGGTTTTGTTAAAAGGCAAGAAGGTTTTCTTCCTGGAAAGACTGACACCAATCCAAGGCATCACTGCAGTGCTATCACGTTGAGGAGTGGTAAAAATCTGAGTTCTGAGCCCAAGAAGACGCCTCCTGCACCTGAGGTCGTGGATTTGGAAGACCCTGAAGAAGTTCCTGAGATTGCAGAGCCGGTGTCGAGCGACACCACAACCAGTGTCGCGCGTCACCAACCACAGAGCGAAGCCGTTGGTGCTCTAATTCCGAAATCTGCTGAGGAGAAAATCTACAAACCTAAGGTTTCTTATCCAAGGAGCCCTAGGAAGTCCAAGCAAGAGCTTGATGATGCACGATGCAAAGCTTTGATGGAAAAGCTTGTTATTGAGATACCTTTGGTTGATGCTGTAAAAATTACTCCTGTTATCAGAAGTTATGTGAAGTGAATGGTGACCAATAATCTCAGCCATGAACAAGGAGTGATGATGATTTCTGAGCAAGTCAGTGCAGTGATTCAGAACCGAATTCCAGAGAAGCTATCTGATCCAGGAAGCTTTGTCTTGGATTGCTCAATCTTCACTGAGAGATTCAAGAGATCGCTGTGTGATCTGGGTTCAAGTTTTAACCTCATGCCTTATTCAGTAGCTGTCAATCTCGGCATGACTGACTTCAAGCCAACAAGGATATCTCTTATCCTAGCTGATCGATCGACAAGGATACCTGAAGGAGTGTTGGAAGATGTTCCAATCAAGATTGGAGACTGCATGATACCGACTGACTTTGTGGTTCTGGAGTATGGAGAAGAGCCTAAGGATCCTCTTATCCTTGGGAGACCTTTTCTAGCTACAGCAGGTGCTATCATCGATTTCAGGAAAGGCAGGATCGCTCTGAATGTTGGAGATCTGGTGATGAACTTTGACATGGACAAGCTGATGAAGAAGCCCACCATCGATTGTCAGACCTTCTACGTCGACACTCTCACGGAGTTTGCAGAGGAGATTTTCCTTGAGATGCTACCTATAGACCCACTGGAGAGAGCTTTGACCACGTCTGCAACCGAAGCTGAGCACTTGGACGAAATTTCAGCATCTTACCTGAAGATGTTCGATTCCAGCGAGCATGTGATGCAGCTGGCAGCACATATAGAACAACTCGAGACTCCTGCGAAGGTGAAGCAATTATCCGACTGGAGTGAAGAGAAAGCGCCCAAGATTGAGTTCAAACAGCTACCTGCAGGACTAAGGTATGCATTTCTAGGCTCTAATTCCACTTATCCAGTCATTATCAACTCTTCTTTGAACAATGCGGAGGTTACCTTACTACTGAGCAAGCTGCGCAAGCATCGCAAAGCTTTTGGCTATTCTCTTGATGATATATCTCACCAGATCTGTGCATGCATCGAATTCACCTGGAGGATGAATCGAAGTCATCGATCGAACACCAGCGCAGGTTGAACCCTAATCTGAAAGACGTCGTCAAGAAGGAGATCATGAAGCTGTTGGAAGCTGGGATCATCTATCCAATTTCAGATAGTGCTAGGGTCAGTCCTGTGCACGTGGTTCCTAAGAAAGGAGGGGTTACAGTTGTGAAGAATGACAAGGATGAGCTGATTCCAACGCGCACAGTGACTGGACACAGGATGTGTATCGATTACAGGAAGCTAAATGCAGCGACCAGGAAATATCACTTTCCATTGCCCTTTATTGATCAGATGCTGGAGAGACTTGCAAGCCATCCCTACTACTGCTTCTTTGATGGGTACTCAGGATTTTTACAGATCCCCATCCACCCATATGATCAGGAGAAGACCATCTTTACATGTCCATACGGCACTTTCGCATATCGCAGAATGCCCTTTGGACTTTGTAATGCTCCTGCAACTTTTCAGCGATGAATGATGTCCATCTTCACTGACATGATTGAGGATTTCATGGAGGTCTTTATGGATGATTTCTCAGTTTACGGATCATCTTTTAAAAACTGTCTGGATAATCTCTGCAAGGTTCTAGCTCGCTGTGAAGAGAAACACTTGGTCCTTAACTGGGAAAAGTGTCATTTTATTGTCAGGGATGGAATTGTGCATGGACACAAGGTTTCTGCTGCTGGTATTGAAGTGGATCGTGCAAAGATCGACGTCATGACGAGTTTGCACCACCTGATTCTGCAAAATCGGTTAGAAGCTTTCTGGGTCATGCAGGGTTTTATCGTCGCTTTATCAAAGACTTCAATAAAATTGCACGTCATGTTACTGCTCTGCTATGCAAGGATGCCAAGTTTGAGTTTACAGACGAATTCCTTACCGCGTTCTAACAGATCAAACACGCTTTGATAAGCGCCCCTATTGTGCAGCCTCCTGACTGGAATTTGCCTTTTGAGGTGATGTGCGATGCCAGTGATTTTGCTGTTGGTGCTGTCCTAAGACAGAAGAAGGACAAAAAGCTTCATGCAGTCTACTATGCCAGTCGAACTCTGGATGATGCTCAAAGGAACTATGCTACTACTGAGAAAGAGCTGTTGGCTGTGGTCTTTGCTTTTGAGAAATTTCGACCCTACTTTGTGGGATCGAAGGTTATTGTGCACACAGATCATTCTGCACTCAAATACCTGATGCAAAAGAAGGATGCAAAGCCAAGGTTACTGCGATGGGTGTTACTTCTTCAGGAGTTCGATATTGAGGTCAAGGACAAGAAGGGTGTTGAGAATGGTGTTGCAGATCATCTCTCACGCATCAGGGTTGAAGAGGATGTACCCATAGACAATTTTTCTGCCAGAAGAGAATGTATACTATGTGGAAACTGGGTTTCGGAGCAGATTTGACGAAGAATTGCAGGCTTTTCGAATTGGAGAAACATTAGTGTCGAGCGATACCACCACCAGTGTCGCGCGACACCTTGCTCAGCCGAACACAAAGACTTCTCAAATTCGAAGCAGACTTCCTGAGATCAGTTCAGCTGCTGTATCTGCCACCCAACGTCCTTGGTATGCTGATATTGCCAATTATCTCGCTGCAGAGGCTGAGCCTGAGAACTTTAAAGGGTACGCGAAGAAGAAGTTCCTGAGAAAGCTGAGGAGATATCACTGGGATGAGCCATATCTGTACAAGCACTGTTCTGATGGGATTTACAGAAGATGCATTGCAGAGTCAGAAATTCCAGAGGTGCTGTTTCATTGTCATGGATCTGAATATGCTGGACACTTTGCGACCTTCAAAACAGTGTCTAAGGTTCTTTAAGCAGGCTTTTGGTGGCCTACAATGTTTCGCGACGCACATGCCTTCATCTCGCAGTGTGATGCTTGTCAGAGGAGAGGAAAGATCAGCAAGCGACATGAGATGCCACAGAATTTCATCCTTGAGGTTGAAGTGTTCGATTGCTGGGGTATCGATTTCATGGGTCCTTTTCCCTCTTCTTATGGGAATAAGTACATCCTGGTTGCTGTTGATTGTGTTTCTAAGTGGGTCGAAGCCATTGCCAGCCCCACCAACGATTCTTCAGTGGTTCTTAAGATGTTCAAGACCATCATCTTCCCTCGTTTTGGAGTGCCTCGAATTGTTATAAGTGATGGTGGTTCTCACTTTATTAACAAGGTGTTCGAAAAACTCCTAAGGAAGCATGGAGTTCATCATCGAGTTACAACCCCTTATCACCCTCAGACAAGTGGACAGGTCGAAGTGTCGAATCGTCAGATTAAGGAGATCCTGAAGAAGACGGTGGGTAAAACTCGAAAGGACTGGGCTGCGAAGTTGGACGATGCACTCTGGGCGTACAGGACAGCGTTCAAAACACATCTAGGCACCACGCCTTTTCACCTGCTCTATAGAAAGCCCTGTCACCTTCCAGTGGAGATCGAACACAAGGCAGCTTGGGCAATAAAGATGATGAATTTCGACATCAAGTCTGCCGCAGAAAGGAGACTGATACAGCTGAATGAGTTGGACGAAATCAGGCACCATGCCTATGAGAATTCGAAGTTGTACAAAGAGAGGACCAAGGCGTATCACGATTCCAAAATCCTCTCCAGGCAATTCGAACCGAATGACCAGGTACTTCTATATAACTCTCGCCTGCAATTGTTTCCTGGTAAACTTCGTTCTCGATGGTCAGGTCCTTTCATAGTCAAAGAGATTCGCCCCGACGGTGCCATCGTCCTCCTCACACCAGATGGCAGCAGGGAGTTCACAGTGAATGGACAAAAGGTGAAGCACTACTGGGCCAAAGCTGAGATTCCAGATGGACATATCGTTCATCTGTATGGTGCACCTCCTGCCTGAATCACCATCAAGTCAAGCTAATGACTTTAAACAAGCGCTTGGTGGAAGGCAATCCACTGGTGAGTCTGTACATAAGTCCTTTGTTTCAGTTGATTTTCGTTTTTCTTTTCGTGTTTTAGGTGAAGCAGGGTTGGTGTCGAGCGACACCATCATCGGTGTTGCCTGTCACTTGTTACTTTATATTAAAAAAAATAAAAATAAATAAATATTAGGACCTAGCTTAACCGGAATTCCAGAACCGGAGTGGAATCGGGAGCGGATCAGGCACGAGGAGATTTGGTTCACACCTTGCAAGTGTCGCGCGACACCAGCATCAGTGTCGCTCGTCACTGACAAACAGGTAAGTCTTCTTTTTCCCACTTTTATTTAAAATCCTCACACCCCTCCTCCCTTCCTCTTCGCCGCACTCGACACTTTTGCCATACCCACCCTCACCAAAACCCAACTTGCTCAAATCTTCACCGATTTGAGTGATTCCAAAGCCTAACCTCATCAGATTTTCACCCCTCCATCTGTTTCTCCCATTGATTTGTCAATCCAACAAGGTAAACCACTCGACTTCTCAATTTTTCGATTTCGGTGCCTAAGGTATGATTGTCGAAATTGCTCTTTCTGGGTTGATACACTGCTTGATTTCGAACATTGCGTTTCACTTAGGGCATATTTCAACCACCCCCATGTACTTTAAACGGATTGTTTGGCTAGATTGGAGAAATTTGTTCTTCATGACAATTTTACTTCGAAAATTTTCGATTGTAAAGTTTCGGTTCGGATTTAGCGAGATTTTTGACTGCATGTGTTGCTGGAATCTTTGCTGTTGCTATCTAGACTTGCTGGAGTAGATCAAATCGTGCTATCCAAAATTGCTAACTTGAGATTTTTTTTCTTTTGTTGGCTTGCTCTGTTTCTTCTTTTGCAGATGCCTCCACGCAAGCGACAGTGCAGGGACGCCGCCTCCAGCTCGCAACCCCCAGCCGTCGTAACCTTCAACCTAGGCGAGCACGTCGAAGCTTTGGTTGGTGACTTGTGGAGCGATCATCAATGCGGTGCTCGCACGATCTCGTTAGATGGTCAAATCCCATGACTCCCAGGACTTGCAGGTGTTCTCATCATCCCATCTTCGACCTGCTGCACCACCGCGTGCTCGCTCTGCTTCACCTCCACCATCGCCTCCTG